CTATAACTTTGTAGGTCCGTGCACCCAAACTCTGTGAATCCTCAGGTTCTAACTCTGTAAACATGCACAGCATAAATCACATAGAATAATGCATCGCAACACATAACACATATATAGCATACAAGCACTGTATCACATAACTCTAGTTACCTACTCAAGGTAAAGTATAGTGAGAAGACTCACCTTGCGTATCTCGATAACTCGCAAATCCCTGAAATCACTCGTGCTCGATCCCCCGAGCTATAATCCTCCTATAATACAATATATCTCTAATTAACACTTTCACTACTAAGGTTGACTAACCCTATCAAATCAACACTGGTCAACTTTGGTCAACGGTCAACTTTGACCGGACTCGGCGAGTCTATACGCGTTTACTGACTCCCTCGGATCCTCTCTTGACACGTCGAGTGTTTTCCTAACTCGACGGGTTCCACCTGGCATGAGTCGGGGGGCCACCACGACTCAACTCGTCGAGTCTTAAGAACAACTCGGCGAGTTCCGGCTTGACTCAGTCCACCTGTCAACCCTCTCTGACTCTCCCTGACTCACTATGTCAACCCCTTAACTCAGCAAGACCACTCGCTGAGTGGTTATGGACAATCTTCATGCTACTTGCCGAGTCTGTTCTTCAGACTCGGCGAGTCTATGCCATGCATCAACTCAAACTCACTCTTGAGGTTAGATCTGTTCCAATAACTCATAGATCCAGTCATCCCAAGCTCATTCATCACGTAAAGTTACTATCTTGGTGCCCATGCAAAGGTTCAAAGGCCTTATTTGAAGATATGGTCTCTAGAATGCTATTCTAAGCTCATGGCCTCCATTAACACTCATAAAGCTTGAAGAAAAAGGGTCTCTGGACCTCTTTGGGTCCAGATCTAAAGCATCAATACGAGAAGAGGCCATTTACTCCATGGATCATTCCAAAAAGGCCACAAAGAACCCCTATCTCTAATATTTATACCAAGGACTGAGAAAGGAACGAATGATTACCTCAAATGAAGTCTCTAAGCTCAGAAATCACTGGATTAGCACCTTCTTTGGTCTCCTCTTGCCTTGGTCCTCTTCTATAAGCAAAACACCCACAAATAATCAAGGATCTTCCTTTTCTCTCTCACAAAACGCTCAAAGACTCTTTAAGGTTCTCTCTGGGGTTGGTGGCCGCAAATGACGGCCATAAGCCCCTTTAAATAAGTCTCATACCCTGGAAATTAGGGTTTCATTAAACAGTGTGGACTCGCCGAGTCCACTTTTGGACTCGCCGAGTCCGAACGCGAACCCGCGCCGATAACCGCAATCATACTCGACGAGTTTGGGCTCCAACTCGCCGAGTCTCCTCACAAATCACCAACAAATACAAAATAACTAATACTTGGGAATCCGAGCTGTTACAATCAGTGAGAGTAGCAATTCAAGTTCTTTTAACACAAACCTTGATCAAGCTGAAAAGAAGTCTGGAGAGGATCCCTCCTTCCTCTATCAGGTAAAAAAAATTGTAAGTTACTTAGATAATGAAAATCCTTTAATGTAAAAAAATAAATAAATAAATAAATTGTAAGTTACTTAGATAATAAAAATACTTTAATGTTTGAGTATCTATGTCTTGATCTTGAAAAATCTCACCATGAAAAGATTGATTTTCAAAACAAATCTAACACCTTTTTAAAATAAACTAAATTAAAAAAATCTTGATTAGAATACCTTAAAAATGAGCTAATGAGTAAAAAGTTCTATACTCAATGTGTTTTACAATTTCAAAACATAAGGATTAAGAAAAGGACGAGGCTTTCAAAACATAAGGATTAAGAAAAGGACGAGGCTGTTTTACAAACTGTATTTCTGCGATAAAGAAATAAGGATTAAGAAAAGCCAATAAATATAGAGGGAATTACTAATCTAGCCTAATTAAGTAATTACTTAACCATTTTTAGCCAAAATTAGCAAGTGTTCAAAAATAGCCTACGAAACCGTACGTAATTAGAGTGAACTATTGTTTTGCCAAATGGTCTATTGTTTCGGGTTAAGTATAAAAAAATCATTTTGAACATCTAAAAACCGTAGGTTATTTTAAAACCTACGGTTTTCTCTCGACAACCTTCGGATTTTCAAACCATAGCCTACAGTTCTGGGTTAAAGCCTACGGGTTTTTTCTTTCTTTTTATTTTTTTAAACAGCTAGGTACTTCTATTTTTTTTATCAAAATTTTACCTTATTATTAATTAAGAATAGTTTTTGTATATAATGATAAATATTTAAAAAAAAAAAAAAAAACTGAAAAACACATATTAAACCCGTAGTCTTCATACGAAACCTACGGTGTACAAGTCCACGAAAGAATTAACAGACCGAAAAACAGTAGCTCGTTACCTTAAAATAGTAGTCAACTCTCGTTGGCCGTAATCAACTATGACCGGACTATTATTTTGTGGGTTAGTTTTGCTAATGTATTTTTTTTTTTTTTTGCTATTTTTAGATAGGTAATTAAAGAAAATTGCTAGATTAGTAATTCAATAATATAATGTAAATTAAAGGGAAATGACTCTTGAGGGTAATTAACTTTTGCGTTTGTATTCATTTGGTCCCTTTTTTTTTTGTATTCAATATACCATTGAACTTGTTGTTGGTGTTTACCATAACCCTTTTGACCGGCTTTTGACCTGTGATAGCCGGTCAAAGGGTTATGGTGAACACAAACAACAAGTTCGATGGTATATTGAGTACAAAAAAAAGGAAAGGGATCAAATGAGAACAAACGCAAGAGTTGGTTACCCTCCTGATTCATTTTCTCTTTACTCATTTACAACAAATCTCACATCATCTCCTACTGATATTAATGACTTTATGAGATTCATTCTTGCTTCTCTTCAAAATATAACCTACGAAAGGACATTATTCATACATGTACAACTTTGTAATGCACTTGAATATTTATTAGGGGAATCTTGACTAAGCAGGCGCATTTCATGACTACATTTACATTTTCAATCAAATGATTTATCGTATCATGGATTCTAGACAAGTCTACAAACGAGTGGAACCGCAAGTGCTATGATTTTGAGTTTACTTAGATTTAAGATCGAACTCATGGGATAAGATGTTGGATAAGGTGTCTAAGTCCATAACTTATTTGGTATATACTTGATCCGACCCAGCATGGTCCATTTGGGTTGCACTTCACCCGAACTATTTATGGATAATTTTATAAGAGTTATACACATATGATTATTAATATATTATAAGTTATAATATATTAATATGAAATCATGTTATTTAATTAGTCTTAGTCTTAAATTAATTATGAATTAATTTAGAGATTAAAAGGAAGACTAATTAGATTGTGGGCTATTGGTTTTATATGGTGTGGGCTAACACTCATTTGTTAATGGGCTAGGCTTGTATGGAAGTCCATGGATGATCCATGGAGCTTTTAACCCATGGATCCTTGGAAAAGGAAAGGTCATGGGTTATTAGGGTTTCACCCTAACCATGCACACTATATAAGCATACTTATGTTGCATGAAATAGCCACTAGTGTGTGTGTTTGTGTGTGGCTGAAATTATAGTGTGTATACACTCTCTTAAAGTTTTCCAAGTGTTTGTGGTGATTTGTGATTCCATTTGAGGCATTCACACTATTGGTGCTTGACCCTCAAACTCCTTAAGAATCAAACTCATCAAAAAGGTATGTAATCTCATCTAATTCTTTTATGTTTAAAAGTACCCCATGCCATGTTAGATAGGTTATGAACCTTGGAAAATTATTATTTTTCATGTATTTAGACAAACATAGATCCAAGGTTTATTAGGGTTGCATGCACACTTAGGAAGTGTTAGATTGCTCAAAACCCAACATAAGATACAACATCAATATGTATAATATTATGGTGATGTGTCTACAAAAGCAACATGATATTGTACATATTGATGTTATATCTTATCCCATGAGTTCGATCTTAAAGCTAAGTAAACTAAAAAATCACAGCACTTGTGATTCCACTCGTTTGTAGACTTGTCTAGAATCCATGATACGATAAATCATTTGTTTGCAAATGTAAATGTAGTCATGAAATGCGCCTACTTAGTCAAGATTCCCCTAATAAATATTCAAGTGCATTACAAAGTTGTACATGCATGAATAATGTCCTTTCGTGAGTTATGTTTTGAAGAGAAGCAAGAATGAATAGCATAAAGTCATTAATATCAGTAGGAGATGATGTGAGATTTGTTGTAAATGAGTAAAGGGAAAATGAATCAGGAGGGTAACCAACTCTTGCGTTTGTTCTCATTTGATCCCTTTCCTTTTTTTTGTACTCAATATACCATCGAACTTGTTGTTTGTGTTCACCATAACCCTTTGACCAACTATCACAGGTCAAAAGCCGGTCAAAAGGGCTATGGTAAACACCAACAACAAGTTCGATGGTATATTGAATACAAAAAAAAGAAAAGGGACCAAATGAGTACAAACGCAAAAGTTAATTACCCTCAAGAGTCATTTTCCCTAAATTAAATGAGGAAATTTGTCTGTTTATTTGTATTTTGACACGAATGAAACTGACCCAAACTTTCAATGCTCCACGCGAACTGGATATCTGTCGTCGCCTGTTGACGACGATTTGACCTCACCTACCGGCGTTGATCCCACAGTTTCTCTAACATCTTCTCCGGTGACACTGTCAGAGTTCTTTGAAGGTACTTCTCGTCGATCGTTTATTTTCTCTTTCATCAATTTCGCACTCTCAATTACATACACGAATACCAACAATCCATCGATAATTCTTCTGTACACTTTTCCATCACTACTTATACAAAATTGTCTTCGTTTTGATACCTTATTCAAAGGAAAACCCGAATAGACTGCTATGAGTTTGATTCTATGTGTGTTCTTGGGGGTTTTGCTTCCTTATTTTCGTTTATTTCACAACTGGAATTTAATATGATTAGGTATTATGCAATTTTCTTCTCACAGGTTACATACGAAGCTTAGTTGTTTAGCAATGTCCAGATCCCTTCTGTTAGTTACACTGCTTTTATTAATGGTGTTAACCTCCCAATTCGATTGGAACCAGAAAGTCGTTAACGAGGTAGAAACAAGATCATCAGCTCTTTTAAGAAGGCAACAACTTGTTCTCCAAAGGGAAGAATATGTAAAAGAAAAGGTACGTACTTCATTTCTTTTCTTTTCTTGTCAATTTTCTAAGTCCATATTAGGTTATAATGCTGTTTTCATCAATATATTCTACATTATCTCTAAATACGTAGTGACACAATGTTAAAACTTAAAACACATATGTTCTTGAACACATGTCATTCAACAATTGTAAAACTCGTATTTGGGGGAAATGTGTATGCTTTATCAAAGGGTTAATAACTTGTGAGGGTAATGAAATTGGGCCAAAAGTTGTGAAGGATGTTATTTTATACAAAAAGGTAATTTTGTTAATAAAAATTGTAAAATAAGTAAATTTTGTTGAGAACACATAATGAAAAAAAGTAATCTGATGTGATTACTTTTTTTCTTGATGAGGCATACAAAATACAAAACAATGAAGAAGGAAAGAGATTAATAATAGTCCACTAACAATGATCATAAAATTCTTACTTTTTTTTTTAACCACTTTATGACTTGTTTTTACAACTCTTGCATGTAATCTTTCAATTGCAGATAATCCTATCTCAGGAAAAACATATACAGAAACTTAAAACAGTTGTGCAAAGTCTTCAACAAGAGTTGCTACTGTGCAGGGGTAAAGATGACTTTTTGAATGACACTACAGTTGACCCTTTGACTCAACTTTTATACGAACTCAAACACCAATAAATCATGGATTAGTTACATAATAATTTATGTTTTATAGAGTTGTATAATACAATATTTTAAAGCATAAATTTTTGTATATTGAGAAAAATTATTGTGTCGAATAAGATTCATTTTTGAATTGTATTATTATTATTATTATTATTATTATTATTATTATTTAATTTACCTTCACTTTAGATATTATGTCAAAATGTCAGAAGTTTCATTCATTATCTCTCATTTTGAACATTTATTATGACCCTCATGTTAAACCATTACTCATGTATTGTAAATTTAATGAGACATTTATTAAAATGATTTTTTTTTTTGGAAACAACAAATATATTAAAAACTCACATGAGGGAACGGTACAGAACCGGAAAAGAACAAAACATGAAAAAGAAAATACAAAAAATAAAGTTACAAACAAAAAAAAAAAGACCTAAATTTCATACTCTCCGGTCCATGTTCTTGAGTAATTCTTTATGTTTGCTCCAAATGAAAGTTATCGATTTTATCCTCTCCGTTGTATTCGCTAGTACAAAGGGAATGTTAGTAAAGACCCTTTTATTTCTGTCATTCCATATACACTACAATACTCTGCATAAGATCGCATTCAACAAACTTTTTTTCTTTTTTGCATTTAGACTATTGCGATATGAAAAGTAACATATCCTTCACCGACTTAAAGCCATCAAATGAGATTTCACACCAACAAATTATAGAATCCATAACAGCTTTCGCCAATGGGCATTTGAGTAAAATGTGATCACTCGACTCCTCCTCCAGATTACATGAGCCGCACATAACTATTGGAACTGTAACACCCCTCAGTTTTAGTACTACTAATGATGAGATTCTAACCAGCTTTGCTCTCCGTATAAGCATAAAACTTTAAACGGGATCACCTTACACTACTCAAACGGTCCATCACAAACAACGTGACCTGCCAATTCAATCCGTTCTCGTAACAGCCTCACAGAGAAACGATGGTCAATCACAAAACTAGAGGCCCAACAACATTCGGTTAGGTTCCAGTACACAATCTCATTAGGGTCGATATTGAAATCTTTTAAAACCGTCCTTATTTTGACTATGTTCTTCCAAATACCCATTCTGGATCTATTGGCAAAAATAGACCAGTGTCTTCCATCCAAGCTGAGGATACTTCGAATAATTTCCGCCCATAGTGCAGAGTTATTACTTTTCAATCGCCACGTCCATTTAGCTAACAGGGATATGTTGAGGCTTTTGATAGATCCAAGCCCGATACCACCCACATTTTTTGGAGCAATAAGTGTATCCCAGGCAACCCAACTAATACCTTTCTTTTCAATTTTACTGCTCCAAATAAATCTCCTTCTAATTCTCTCAAGGGTCTCAATGACAACTTTCGGAACAACTAAGATAGACATAAAGAAAGTAGGAAGATTACCAAGAACCGCTTTTGCTAAAGTTACTCTGCCACCAAAGCCGAGCGATTTCCCTTTCCATAACGCGAGCTTGGAATGAAACTTTTCAATAATCAGCCTCCATGCATTCTTTAAGTTCATGTTTCCTCCTACTGGAATGCCAATGTAAGTGAACGGGAGAGACGATGGCTCGCAGCCAAGAGAAGCAGACCAATTCGATATTTCACTAGGGGATGCTCCTACACCAAGTACTTTAAACTTGCTAAAGTTAACTTTCAACCTTGACGAAACATAAAAACATCTTAATATCCTTGCCAAGTTATCAATATTACGTCTCAACCATTCTCCAATGAATAAAGCATCGTCTGCATAAAATAGATGAGACAAACAAATATTAGGATTTTGAAATTTTATTCCATCAAAAAATCCTTTATCAACCGCTGTCTTCATCGCCATATTTACCCTTCCATCGCAATGATGAATAGGAAGGGAAAAAGTGAGTCTCCTAGTCTCATCCCTTTCGTCATTGAGAACTCCATTGTTGGGCTTCCATTGATAATAACTGATGCTCTACACAATTCCAAACAATTACGAATCCAATATCTCCATTTATTACCAAAGAACATTTGTTCTATAATTGAGTCCAAAAAAACCCAATTTAGAGAATCAAAAGCTTTATTAAAGTCATCTTTAAAAAGGAGCATCTTTCTTCCTTTTGCTTTTGCCCAAGTACAAAGCTCATTAACCACCATCGGACCCTCAAGGATATTCCTTCCTTCAACATACGCCAATTGCAACTCATCAATAACATTAACAATGGCCTTTAGTCTGAGTGCTAATAATTTTGTAATGATTTTGTGTAAGGATCTAATTAGGCTTATAGGCCTAAAATCCCCAAAATGGCGTGGATCTTTAGTCTTGGCAGCAAGGAAGATAAATGAAGAATTGCAACCTTTTGTAAAATTGCCTCCCATTTCAAAGTACTTAACCATCCCAACGATATCATCTTTTAATATATCGTAATATTTTTTGAGAAATTTAAAAGTGAAAACATCCGGCCCAGGAGATTTATCTCCACCACACGACCAAACTGCATTTTTTATTTCTTCAATAGAAAACTCTCCTTCCAAAAAACAGGCATCCGTTTCAGAAAGCTTGTGAAATCCTGAATTATGAAACAAAGGTCTATTTCGCCACCGTTCTCTATAATTCTCTTCAAAGAATTTAGCTGCTTCTTGTTTAATTTTGGAGGGATCCGTAATCCAAACTCCATTCGCCATGATCCTATGAATGTGATTTTTCCTGTTGTTTCTGTTATTCACATAAACGTGGAAAAAACACATATTTTCATCACCCTCCACCTCCCATATTAATTTAGCTCTTTGCTTCAAGTCCATGGCAATAGTTCTGGCATGTTCAACAATTTTAACACCTCCAATAGATCTTTCTTCCATTTCTGTTGTAGTTAAAGGCCTTGATTCGCCGCTAATTCAATCTCTTTCATTCTTTTTTTCAAAGAATCCAAATTATGTTATCTTCCTTCACTATATTTGATTTCCAACACATGATAGTTTTTTTTTTAAGTATTTTAATTTATGAATGAGGAATGCATCAGGAGTTCCGAACCGCACAAACTCAGAACATGCATTCTTAAGAACCTCATCGAACACACCCTTAAGTATCCATGAGTTGTATAATTTGAACGGTAGGGGTCCAAAATCATCACTTTGAGCCCTCAAAATAATAGGAGAGTGGTCTGAGAGGTCTTTATTCAACGCAAAGTAGGAGGCAAGGGGATACGTAGATAAGAAACGATTACATACCAAAAATCGATCTAGCTTACTTAATTTTGCACCCTTCATTTTGAAAAAGGTGAATCTTTGACCTCCCGTCTTCAAATTAGTAAATTCACTCGATCGAAAGAATTGATTAAAAGCAGTTGCACTAGTTTGACAAAAGACGGAGTTTATCCGCTCTTCTGGTCTACGAACCACATTAAAGTCGCCCATAAATATTCACGTAGCGGATATAGAGGATTTCAAAACTAACAACTCATCCCATAATTTTAATTTCTCATGAACTAGTTGAGGACCATAGATGTTTACTATGCCACTAAGACCATTAATGCCAACAAAATTACCCAATGTCACCATGTAGTATCTGGATTTAATAGTCTCAACTACCGAATATACTTTATTATCCCACATAGTCACCAGATCTTCCCGTGGTAAAAACCTACTCAAAACTACTGTCAGGGTCACCCCATCAACTAGTAGTATTTAGAGCCGTAGACGATTCTCCTAATTTGGATTCTTGGATGCCCATCATACATAACTTATGCTCACTTCGAAGCCTACGCACCCAATCAACCTTGTGTTTCTCTCCAAGACCTCTAATGTTTAGAGTCATAACATTCATTGGATATTTTGGTTTTCACCATCTTCGCCAAGGACTTCTTTAAGAACCGAATTATTGGCATCAACCTCTATGGCCCACCTCTACTGTATTTCGGATTTCCAACGAGAAGGATAGGGAATCAACCTCCGTGTCTGTGAGAGGGACCTGAGTTGGAATCTGGCATTTATTGAGATCCAAAGAGGCATGAGGCGCAGGAGAGTCTGATAAATCACTAGGGATATTATCGGCTTTCCTGAATATTCTTCATCTTTTAACCTCTTGCTCACCCATCTGAATATCTTTAACAACCACGTTATTTGGAAATGGCCCAAAACATCCAATCTTGGCCAGGTTATCTAAAAGCCCATTAAGTGATCCACCTGTATCCCCATTTCTGTTAACCTCCACAACTGTATCTTCGCAATCCAATACATCATCTTGTTCCACAACATTAATGTTTTTAGTATTTCCAAGGGATTCAAATTCCGATAACCAAGGTATTTAATTTCGTAATCGGATCCATCACTATTTTTGAATGAATATGGGGATTTCTCTAGATGATCGAAGCTATGTAGCACTCCAATCATGTAGTTGCAATTAATCCATCCACAGAGAGGAGAATCGTTATATAATCACTATTATTGATTTGTATTCTTATATTTACTTATTACCTTAAAAAATATGTTACCAGAACTTGATGATTTTAAAGTAAAGATTTATATTGGTGTTCCCATTTACGTATAGTTAAATAGTTTCGTGTTATGATTTAAAAATGCTCAAACAATTTATTAAAATAATATACTTTAATAGCTTAAAAATATTTATGAGTTTTAAAAAATTGTTAGTATAAATATTTGAATGAATTTTAAGAAATTTAAATGATTATATATATATATATATATATATATATATATATATATATATATATATATATATATATATATATATATATATATATATATATATATATGAGTTAATGCGGAAATGCATATAATTTGCGAAAAAAAAACTATGAGATTGTGCCACCTCATTTTTATATTTTGGACAATAATCCATCCAAACTTTGAACTAAATCTTGATAATCGATGATATATGAGAAATTGTTTTATATTAGCAAAGCATGATTTTTGATATTTTTATTATGAAAACATGAATTTAAAAATGGTTAAAGACATAAAAAAAAATAGTTCTTAAAACCATCTTGTAACACCG